ATTCTAGACAGTTTATCAGCTAAAAAAAGTTAATTTTGGGGTAAGTTACTCTTTAAATGTTCACTACATCAGAACTTATTCACCAAATGTGTTTCCATCTTTGCTTTTGCGCATTAACTCTTACAGGATGGAGGAAATTGGTCTTGGCGGAGATTTGCACTCTCCAAGTGCTTCTAGTTTCCAAATATAATTAGAAAGTTGCAAGTATTTAAAGAAATCCTGTTTCTCCGGTCCATACGACTCACTAAGTGTATCGAAGGCTATATGTTTAGAATTTTCAATAACTGTACACACAGCAGTAAGAGCATGTAGTGCCTTTATGGGGGATACGTTGACAGTTGTTCTGACACATAGTAAAATAAGTGTTCTTTAACCATTTTCTTATTTTAAAAAAGTGTATCATTTATTTTCCTTATTCCAACAAAGTCCGTTTTTACTTGCCTCCATTTCAATGTTCCATTATATTTCAGTAATGCAGAAATGTTCTCGTTACTCTTGATGCACATCCATGTATGCTGTTTACTGTTCGCCTCTGTCACTTCTCACCACACCTGAGCACCGTTGCACATGTAATTAGGTGTGTGGACAGTGACAGGTAGCGTTAGTGCTGACATGTTGAAATAACAACATAAAATGGCTCTAACAGGTTTAATATTAATTTTTATGCTTTTCACCACTGTAAATACAGGAGAATAGCTCATTGAAACCCTCAGGTTGAAGTGCCTTGGGTTAAATTTAWATGCTGTCAAAAAGATGAGCCTGAGGCTTTTGGCCATGTGTGGGTCTTGGTAGATTTGTTCAATAATAGAATATAAATTAATACTTGAATATTATAACACCAATAAGATAAGTCAACTGTAACAGTTCTGTTCTTCACTTATTTTTTGTTGCATGAATAAGACTGTTCTGTGTCTTTATGACAAAAATACATTTATAAAAACAATTTCTCCTAATATGTCGTTAGCCAGTTCCCCACTTCAATAATTTATCTGAAGAAGCAAAGCTCAAATTAAATTTTTACCAATTACTGTGCCACAAATACGTGAAGGTGTTTTGCACAGTATAACAGGGCATTTTGAAAACATTTGCAGTTCATCAATGATAACAGCTGATCTTTCTTTACTAATATTGGTAGGTATTACAAGTTTATGCCTTAAACTGTCCACCTTACCAAGTTTTAAAATCTTATATCAGCTAAAAAGTCTTTTTGATCTTGTTTTCAGACTGATTTACTAAACAAGAACTGATTGTGTAAGAATAATCATCTTGTTTTCAGAATGTGTAAGATTATTTGTCTTGTTAGTCTGAAAATTTGACTCTAATTAAGTCAAATTTTYTGCCAGTGGAGTAAGAACATTTTACTTGGTAAGATTCTTGAAATAAGAAAAAATTGRGTCAAATCAAGTATTTCATTTATACATGAAAGTAACGTGAAATGTTCACGTGTATTTGGCCCGATGTGCTTTCCATACTAATATATAAGCATTGTTATTTGTGTCTTTTGGTGTGTACATGTACATACTTTTTTCTGTTTTGTGTTTGTTCTGTCTGTCTTCACGTTCGTTTCCTTCCTTCTTCGTCGTCCCTGTCAAGGCTCTTCTAACACACCGAGCCTGGTTGTCTGTGCCCAGTTAGCTGATTCAGTGATGCCTTCATGGCTGGTAGTGAGGAATATGTGTGTCAGAATCACTGAGGCATGCTAGCTCTAGTTTTTATGTAATATTTTTTATGTCTCACAGTGAAATATCACAACATTTTCGTGACAAAGACACAGAACAAAAATAACTTTGCTTCCGCCTGACAGGAAGGTGGCCCACTTCCCGCACATCCTCCTTTGTGCTTCTAAATCCAAAACAATGAGGAGACGGCAGGAAAAAAGGCATTCCTGTGACTGCTGTAGCTTCTGCTGTCTGCTGAAACACAGAGACTCAGAAAAAAAACAAAAAATACACAAATTCTCTGGCTGCAAGAAGGGGCTACGTGATCCTGTCCCTGAAAGCAGAATTACAGGCCCAGTTACAGCTGCGCCCTGTTCTGGTTTTAACATGACAAAGGGAAGAAAGGACAGACCTGCTTACCAGAAAACTCCTGATGGTTAAATTATTACAATTAGACTTTATTACAAATTTTAATGGATTAAATAAGGGTGAGCAATTATTTTTTTTCCACATGATAAGTTTGAGTTATGTTGGAGGGCCGATCGTGATTGTACTTAAGTCTGCTTAATCCTTTAAACCCACAGGGTTTTAGAAGTACCATCTCCTTCAGTTCTCTTGTTGAATCTTGAAACTAGCTCCTAACAGGTAGTAATTCTTTTTACTCACTGTGAAGAGCAGTGGTGGGCACCGGCCCGCTAAAGTGCAAATCCAGCAGACCTAAATATTTCATTTGATCTTTAGCGGTCTTACTAATTTTTATATTTCATGAGCAGATTTGCGCTTTCTAAAATTAAAATGCAGTACCACTAATAACTAATTATCTACCAGTCATCATTATGTTGAACAGCAGAAGGTATGTCTGTCAATGAATCACAACATGTGATCTATCCAACAGCACCCCTCCCAGATAAACACACTTATTGTGAAGGTATACATCCTGCTGACTGTTGTATTTGGCCAAGGTTCTCATTTCCCACAATGCCTTGTGTCTGCTTACGTAGCAAGAAGGCAATGTTTAGAACTCCCTGTACCAGCAAAAACAGTAAACGTTTAATCCATGCTAAAAWTTTGTWTGTATWGATTTACTTTACTTTACAATTGGAGCTCCTTTTTTAAAACAAAGTTTAAACTCTGGAGCTCAAAAGCAATCGGCCAACAGTGTTAGAGACGTAGAAATGATTTAAAGATGTTATGCTGGTGAATATTGACATCTAGTGGTCAACTGGAGCAACTACATGGAAAACGTCTTGATCCAGGTAGAAAAAAATCAGTAGGTCCTCTGGATGGTTCTTCTTTAGTGAAACGTTTCGTCTCTCCTCCAAGAGACTTCTTCAGTCTGATGAGTTTCAGGTGAACTAGAAAACTTTAAAATCTAATGGAAACATGAAAAACTTTAAAATCCAAGCTCTTACTTTGAAGGGAAGATACTAGTTTCCTGTTCCCCGTGCTTTCGTTTCCCGTCAGTCCGTCATGTATCCAGAATGTATCGCTTCACTTTTCCAATAAACAGTTTTAAAATTTCTTTATTGATGCTTCTTTAATGAAAAACTACAACAAACAAAAGAAAAAGACAAAGAATCAGCCGAACTAGCAATCCTCAACAACTTTTTAAAGAATCAGCCGAACTAGCAATCCTCAACAACTTTTTAAAGAATCAGCCGAACTAGCAATCCTCAACAACTTTTTAATTTTTACACCAGGAGCCAAAGGTTTGTTTCAGGAAATCACATCCCCAGCAATTTACAGTTGTAGGATTCAGCTGTACAAGGGTTCATACATCGCTAGTTGGCAGTGTTGTACATATATTGTACATGAATTGTCAGCTAGTAAGTGTCAAATTGAACTTGTGCTTTAAAATTAGTTCTGCTAATTTTTCTATGACATAAGCGTATTTGAAGTTGTGGACCTAAATATTTTCATAAGCACTTTAGAAATTGCAAAGTTAATTTTTGGATTAGTGCAGCCCAAATACAATTCAACAACATAACCATAACATCTAATTTTTTTCAACATATCAGTCTTCAAAAACTAAAACAAAAAATGTTTCGCATTATGGTGTCAAATTTTCAATACATGATTTCGATGCTTTTCAGATCATTTTGTTTGTTCAGTGAGAAAAATCCAGTTTGTTTTCTTAAGCTTTAACAATTCAACAAAATCTGCAAAGAACAGCAGAGAGGATATTGTCGGAAACAGAGGATCTGGATTCATTGAACTTCACCACTGAGATTATCTGTTCACATGTAGGTRGATCCAAAGAAGTCTGATCCACAGCACATTTTTTAACCTTCCTGTCATGTTTGTTCCTAAAGAACAGCATGTTCCTGGGTCAGTTTGACCCAGGGAAAGTTTAATCATGCAGTAGTGTCAGAAACCAAAACTAGACACATAGCGGTAACATAATGACCCCCGCACACAGAATGTGCTATGTTTAATGTCTTTTGAGCAATAACCCTTTTTGTATGTCCAGACACCGCTTTTACAGGTAAATTGGGGGTCAGGGGGTTTGTTGCACTGAGTGGTGGGCCTGATGCATAGAGCTTCATCAGAACTAAACAACAAAAGAAATCTGAAGCTTCTATGTTGAACAGTTTCTGAGTTATAAGCGATTTTGCATGTCCTGACACCCCCTCTTTGAAAGGAGCCCCCTCCTCAAACATTGGGTCTATCATAAAACTTTTGGCTGGTGCAGTGTAGGTCAGACTCATCTACAGTCCTGACAAATTTCATGTTGACCGGTGCAGCTGTTTTTGTGCTACGGTTGACCAAAATCACAGAAAAAATAAATAAATAAATACATAAACATTACGAAAACAGTATGACTCCCGCTTACGCTTCGTGTGTGGGGGTCATAATAATCCCCCAAAAGTGTTTTATATCTGATTATTATGACCCCCGCACACGAAGCGTAAGCGAGTCATACTGTTTTCGTACTGTTTTTTTTTTTTTTCAGTGATTTCTGGTCAAACATAGCACAAAAACATTTGCACCGATATAATACAGTTATTCACTTTATTGARCACCGCTCACAAAATTCTTCCCCGACTTTTTGGCAGCTGTCAGTCAGTCATCAAAGCACACACCCCTAAACTAACAATACATATTCTGATTGGTCAGACCATGCAAGCCTTTATGGGTTACTATTAGTTTGAACCAATCAGCAGCCACAAAGATGCATCTGTAATGACCGACAGGGGTGACGCAGCTCAGTAGAGTTCTCTGCAGTCACCGGATGTCTGTGTGCAGTCACCGGATGTCTGTGTGCAATCACTGCAGAGAACTCCACTTGAAAACAGACCATTTTAGCCGTAACTCGAGACAGGAAGGGGCTAGCTGCACAAAACTTGAACGCCATACATTTGGAAAGATGTTTAACAATTCGGCTTGGCCAAAAAGCTCTGACCTACCCAGAAAAAAAAAAATCGCCATTTTTAATCTGAGTGATAAAATCAGGGCTATTTGGCCAAAAGCCACCATAAATATCTCTGCAAAGCCTTTATAATCACAGAGTGACAGTCATTCAACTCATTTATGGACATTTATGGACATATGTCTGTGTTTTATTTATAAAAATGAACGTTTAATTATGAAGAAAGGCCAGGCAGGGGAACATCCCCCTCAGGTGGTGAAACAGATCATTTCCTGAATCCCAAACCACAGAGGCAACTCCGCCCCCTCATTTGCATATTGGACCATGAAATTAAACACCATGAAATAGTAAAACAGCCTGAAATAAAAAGGGAGTTCCTGAAAAATGTAAAGTAGCTTTACAAAATAAAAGTGTTACAAAATAAAACTACAATATGTAAATAATAAATAAAAATGTATTATAATATATTAATTTAGTTTTTTCCATGGGGACATTTATGTATTTGATGGAATATTTATTAATACTTTAATTACATTATTTATTTATTTCATTATTTATTTATTTATTGTATTTTGAATGAAACGGCTCTCCGTATGACGCAACATGGCCCACTCCTGGCTTTGTTATTTTTGACTGTGAGGAATGTCATGTGTGACGTGTGTGTGTGTGACGTCAGGAAAATGCGTGTGCACTTAATGCGTGAGGCTTGTAAGCTCTGAGTATGTTAATAACCTGACTGAATCCAGGCACAATGTTGAAATTACAATCACTATCTGATCTCACAAAGACTTGGACTGTATTATGTATAAGATGTATTATCTGTTTTTAATATGTTATTGTTAAATTGTATTATTGTGTATTTTTTTATTGTGTRTTGCAGGTGCAGAGGAGAAGACCAATGCGGAGCTGATTGTTCCTATTGGTTCAGTGGTCATAGCCATGTTCTTCTGGCTGCTTATCGTCTTTGTTATTCGTGGAAGAAAGAGAGTGAGTACTTCCTCATTCTCATTATTCTCCTCCTCCTTGTGCCACATTCTTCCTTTCTCAGATTTTCCCAGAAAAGAAGACAGTTGATTACACAAACGCACAAGCACAAACCCTTTATGAACACTGATTTATTAGAAGTGACTGGTTTGGCTCTTTGTGGATGCTCTCCTTTGTGTCCACAAACAAGTCCACACTCAGCTCCCACAGGTCACGTAGGCCTGCAGCCGACACTGAGCCCCGTTTATCAGAACAAGAAGCAGTCACTGCACTGAAAAAAAGGATTTTTGGGTGTAGTAACATTTATTTAATTATTCTTTTAAATTGTACAAAAAATATCAAAATCTCTAAACCACTAGAATTTACTAAATAAACAATACACATTATATTATATGTCAATATTACTGTACAAAAACAGTAAATGCTAATATTATTTTACCAGTAATATTTAAGTG